GGTACAAAATCTATGATTTTCTTGTAATGGCTCCAGCGGATTATTATGTAAAAAATATTAATCTACCATTTCGTGAAGAAAAATGAAAAAAACCCCTACTGTTTTGTCGGAATACGCCGATTTGGATAGGGGACAGCTCCTCACGCCGATTTAGATTGGGAATTTCAAGAAATTTGAGGTTTTTGGCTGTTCCGAGCTCGTTTCTTACTCCCTCACTCGAAGACTATTGCTTTGTTGGAATTGGCCCAAGTGGATTCATGGAGGGAATATAATAAGCTTGAAGATGATACAAAATTTAGTATGATTGGTTGGGTAGTTTTATCGGAAAATAAGAAAATATTAAATCCATCCAATCCAAGATTGCCTCTCATGGGGTCAAAAAATATCTCAAGCGTGATAGTCCGATTCACTGGTATGACGTCATACTTCTGTTTGCTTGATTTTTGTTCGCAATGTTTGACTTCTTTCTTCGTATAATTTGGCCTAATTTAGTTATCAGTTGGGTTTGTTGTGTGTTTTTATTACCTTTAATAAAAAGCAAATGTCCCAAGACAAGATACTTGCAGCAATTAGGCTATATTTCTGCAAAAAAAAAAAAATGCAACTTATAGTCTGGACAGTTTGAAAATTTCCGTAGCGGTGTAACGTAGGGCTAAGCCAATCCCGCCAACACGAAAGCTGGACTAGGGGAAGAGAGATCCCAACATTAGTATACTTTACATTGTACTATGTGTACTGTTAAATATGTGTTCAAATACAAGTTTTAACAACAAAATATTGACTGTGCAAATTGAATTTTGTTGGTTTTAACCCCATAATGAAAATGAAACAAACCCAATGATTTTAATTGGTCGATCCAAACTACTTGTACAGCGGGGTTGATTTGATCTCAGTTCGCTGCTTTCGTGATAGTTGGACTAGCAAATGATAATAAGTGGCAAAAACGTTTCCATATGCACCATTCCTAACAAAGGTAAAATGGGTTATCCCAAAATATGAAAATACATATAAAGTTGAAACTGCTATAAACTACAATAACACCAAATTACTTAATCATGGCTGGATCTCAAATCAACGAAAAATTTCAAAACCTTCCTAACAAAAATCTGGTAAACATCTGAGCATGACATTACTGTCTGTCTTCTGTAATTGATCATACAGTAAACAGGTTCCTCACTTCGAGTTCAGAGAAAACCTTTGCTATCCACAGTTTTACATGCTCATCTACAATACCTGTACCCCATACCGCTGTCCTAGTCCTAGTGTTACCCATGTGTATATAGTAGTAACTTAAATACTAGCTGCTGTATCCTACATTAACTCAGTTGGGTACACGACTCTACTTTATACTGTATGCACTCATATAGGTAGAACCGGTGCTCATCTAGTACACAGAGTAATACATGAGATTATAAAGAGTTTACAAAATCACTACAATTCTTCATTCCAACTGTATAAAAATGTCACAGTAATAGGAAGGCAATACATTAGAATGAATTGTTTCTTGTTCGCTATACCAGACTCAACTCAATGAATATGTGATACAACTCCAGACAAGAACAACCTCTTCTGTAAAGGCTAAATTAATATTCCCTACGATACTTCTCATTTCTTTATTATTGTATTCCTTTAACTGACCCACTTTAACGCCTGTAATTCTTTCTTTTATATGGTGGGATTGTATCCTGTGTGTGTTGTACAAGTGTTTGACATGCTGGGTTCAGGTCCTCATAATGCCTATGAATTGCATGTGGCTGGGAAGAATAACCACTTCACTCTGCATTGCCATGTGTCACTTTGAAATCTCTTGCACAGTATTTTTTTTACCTCATAATACCCCACCGATGGTACGTGTTTCTCTTTCAACCTCTGTCTTTGTCGAGTATCATTATCCTTGTTGTGATCATGATCGTTGGGTCTGGTGTCGTCTGTGTATAGTTGTGTTTTCTTTTGTGTATGTGAAGTCCCATTGTGTTGGTAGTTGCTAAATACAACGGGTTCAGCCGAGGGGCGTGGCTTCGTATGTTTACGTCATGCATAATTTAAGATATAGTTTGTCTTTCAGTTATAGTTTGTCCTCGACATATAGTAGACCATGTCTTTTATTTATCAGACAGCATAGCAAAACAAATGGTACAACCAATGTAAGAAAAAATAAGTTGTCCCTGTGTTAATTTTCTTTAAAAAAAAAATTAGGATCCCTAGAACATTATCAATTTATAGGGTCTACACAGAGTGAAATAATACATAGGCCTAGTTAGTCTTATTTTAGCGGTAGGGATTAGGCAGTAATCACAGAAATAAATGAAAACAATTCAATGGCCTATACTACTAGTACTGCAATACTGTACTTTATTCTGTGGATTTTCCAACCTAATCCCATGAACAAATTATCTTACAGGAAGAGAAAATGTGCCTAATAAATTGAAATTACAATTTCTATTACATCATAACTGCTGAAGTTAAGATTTATTACCTTTTAATGTTTCACAAAATTGCCGGCTATATTACACAAAAAGAGAAGGGGAACAGAATGTTAAATATTTAATTAATTAAATTAAATATAGGCCTATTAACTTTCCAATGTCTGTGTTGCAATTTGTATTGTATAAAGTAATGTATTAAATAACAATTAGGCCTATTATTTAGTAGCCTAGAGCCACATTCTGCATAGGCCTAAAAGCCTAGACAGTGGCTGCTATGGGATACATTTTCTGGGGGTGGGAGGCTAAGCTGTCCAACAGGATATTGTATGCCTTAGGAGGGGGGGGGGTTTGCGAGATGAGATTTTTCTGAAAATATAGAGCTCTGGGTGGCCGGGCTTAAGCACCATTGTCCCCCGGCCCCGCTGGCGCCGCCACTGCTAGACAGACTGCTGCGGGTTGCTGGAAGCACAGTTTAGGACTATGCCTTGCCTAGGCCTCAGACTACTGAAGAGGCCTCCTGGTCCGACCTAGCGCAGTGCCTAGACCGACAAGATCGTCCATAATTTGGGCCCAATTGGATGGAAATGGACTCGATGTCTCTTGGGCCCCGATCGTCCGTCACCCGCCCGTAGCAGCAGCACAAACCTATGCACAAACTATAGGCCTCAGCCGGCCTCGCTAGCGTCACTTGTTCACACGGTGTATGTGCGATGTTTTTAGGTAGACGGTATAATTTATACATGACCTATAACCATACAAGCCACGCCCTCTCGGGTGAACCCGTTGTATTTAGCAACTACCTTTCGTAAACCCACCATGCCAAAAAAGTATGTAGTTTCTGCGCATGCGCTACAACTTTTGCGTCCTAAATGCGATCGAGGTTGTGACAAAAAAACTCAATCTATGACGAGTATTTCTTTCATGTCGGACACTAAATATTTTAAAGTCTCATTGAGTGTACCAGGGGTGGCACCAGCGGGGGGGGGGGCCGGGAGGCCACAGCCCCCTCGTCGGGGAGTGCTGCCCCCTCCCCCCTCGTCGGAGAGAAAAAAAATTATATGTATTTTCTACATATTAGTAGACTCTAAAATCGATTAATTAAGCCCTTGAAACCCATAAATTGTTAAAATTTTCGGGGCCTTTGCCCCCTGGACCACTTTCGAAACTTTTAATCGAAGCTCGACCACGCCCACATCGCTTTCGTCTGGAAAATCTTACCCATCGTCGGGGGCATCGGCCCCCTCGTAGGGGACCTCGGCCCGGCCCCCGTCGGGCCAATCCTGGCGCCACCCGTGGAGAGTACTAGTGTTTTGATTTTTTTTCCTTCGCTATGACAAGGCAAATAAGATATTTTTTAAACCACAATTTATCACAAATTTAAACTAAATAGAAGGTCCTAAAACTTTGCCTTGCACTATAGTTTGATGAGAGAGTATAGCGCTGGGCAGAGTTCCACAATTTACTTTTTCTGAATTTTAACATCCTTCTGCCTGAGTGTTGTTTCTGGATAGGAAGTTTCAAATTACCTCTAGTACTTCCTCTAGTATTGTGAGATTGAACTCTGCCCAATGGAGTTAAGACGTCAGAAAAGTAATTGCTGTATCGTCTGCAATGCTATTTATAAAAATAATAAAAAGAAGGGGACCCAGTATCCCCAGGGGACTCCACACTTTATGGGAGACGAGTGTGACACCGTTCACAATAGTGATCTGCTTTCTACCTGAAAGATAAGAGCGGAACCATCGAATGGATAGATTTGATAAACCAATTTCAGAGAGCTTGTATAGAAGGGTTTCATGATGCACAGAATCGGACGCCTTCTTTAAACCAATAAAGATAGCTCCGGTGAGTTTATGTGTGTCTGTGTTGAGTATGTAATCTGTGACATGGATTAGTGCTGTGGTTGTACTGTGTTGGGGACGGAAGCCAGATTGTTTTGTGCATATTTTTGCCTGATATTTATGAATGAATTTGGTTGTGAATTAGGCGTTTGAAAACTTTCATAACGACAGGCAGGACTGTGATTGGTTGATAGTTTCCCCACTTATTGATCTCCGCCCTTGTGAATTAGAGTCACTCTGCCCGCCTTCCATCCAGTGGGGACTTCCCCCAGGGAGAGGGACAGATTGAAGATGTATGTGATAGGGTCAGCAATGCTTGGGCAGCTCCCATACAAAAAAATTCTATAGAATTCTATAAAAAAAAAACTATAGAATGTCTATAGCATAATTGTTTAGAAAATTTATAGAAAATTCTATAGAAATAACTATTGAAGCCCACTATAAAATGTCTATTAAAAATCTATTAAAACTATATTAAAAATCTATCAAAACTCTATTAAAAATCTATTAAAACTATATTAAAAATCTATTAAAAATATATAAAAAAAACTATAAAAAATTTATAAAAACTCTATAAAAAACATATTAAAACTATATTAAAAGACTTAAAAATCAACTGCTCTTCAACTTTAACTGGCCCCCAATTCCAATTGGTTTGCAATGGTCCCAGTTCCAATTGGTAACAATGGCTTTAATCAACTTCTGCAGACTTACAAAATACACTGAGTTCATATACAAACCATAATTTCTTTAATTTAAAACACCAACAAACATCATACAGTAGGGACATTACTTCCCTAGGGTCTCTTTTACAGTCCGGTTTAAATAAGCATTTTTTTCGTAATGTAGTCCTATTACAAGAGTTTATTATACTGTATAAAACAATATTCAAGAACCATTTGTGTTACAGGTGTGCATAAACCAGCATTCTTTGTGATATTGCAGCAGCAATTGTCCATAACCATGCCTTTTCTTGTCCGATGGTACCAAGCTAAATTAGTATGAATTATGCCGTTGAACAAATCTAGTTTGAAATACTAAATCACTGTGACTTGTACTAAAATTTCTCGGAGTTTAACTCTTGCTGAAAGATATAACAAAACAAAATAGAGCGCATATTATAGAAACCGCTATTAAATGTATTACATCCCTTTATTATTGTATTGAGTTATCACTTACAATAGTTACCGATACTTGAGTATCCTGAAATAAAATCACCATTTATGTTGTTAGTATAGGCCTTTTGATTACATTAACTTTCTCCAAATAATGATACAATTCTTTTTTTACACCCGCCCCACCCCCACCACGGTTAACCGTTAACCTATTATTTTATTAAAGCACTATAGAATGTCAGTTAATTTTCTGTTCCTTTACAGATACGTCTTTAAACAAACATTAATGCTTTCAACTACAAGATTGAGTTGACCGGATTGAGTTTTCACTTAATTACAGTAGTAACTGAGACTTGAGTATCCTGAAATAAAATCACCACTTATGTTGTTAGTATAGGCCTTTTGATTACATTAACTTTCTCCAAATAATATGATACAATTCTTTACACCACCCCTCCCCGGTTAACCCTAAACCCATTATTTTATTCGTATTTTATTAAAGCATCATGGACATGAGGACACGGCCCAAATGCAATTTACCACTCTTCTTATGGCATGTTAGACTATGGGGCAATTAACTTACAGCTTAGCTAGGCCAACAAAAGGCCCAGGTTCTAGGCCTAGCCCTATATCCTCAATGGCCTAGAGAGAACAGAGAACCTCAGTTCTGTCTGTCTCCGTACGGCGGCTAGGCTAGTACCGGTACAGCTACTGTAGGCCTTAGGCTAGGCCAGGCCTCTTCATTCAAGCCTTCATCTACCACTACTAGGCCTACTAGGCCTAGGAGGAGGCTAGCATGTCTGCTAGAGTAGTAAACTAGCTAAATAATAAAACAAAACCAACTCTTACCACTTGATGAATACAGTACTGCTAAAATACTTCCAATGAGTATGTTTATAACTGACTAACATCATGAAAGTCCAGAGAGATATTCAAAATACTACCGCTTCCGTTGGCTCTACATGAAGTGACAATTCAAATCAGCTGATGGTCACTTGATGAAGTGACCAATCAGATTTGTGCAATTCGACACTAACATTAATTGGTTGGTAGGTGGGCTATCACAGTAAACAGGTTAGGCTGTTGATAACATTTTGCTGTCAACCCTAAAGCATTGTTGTTAAGTGAATAGGTGAGGGTTAAGTTTAGGGACTACAGACCCGCCCCCCCCCCATAAAGTTCCCATAAGGCTACCAATGTATTATTAGCGGTTCCAGAAATTTTTCATAGAGTTTGAATAGATTTTATATATACATTCTATACAATTTTTTTTTTATAGATATTGTAACAAAATGGTGCAGTCCACCCCCTAATTATAAATAGATTAGGCCACTCCCTAATGCTGGGAGCCGATTGGCTATCTAAAAATAGCTGTGTTGGGATCTTAAGACCCATCGCCCAGGACATGTAGTAGTTGAGCTCTGGATCTCATGAAGTTTAGAACTGGGAAATCCCGACGTTAGTGTTAAGTAAGGTAGGACCTGCAGTAATTCTATAAAATAGTTTATAGTCGAACTCAGTCATTAAGAATTGAGAGCCCAGTAAGGGACAGGCCTACTTATAGTTTAATTCCGGTGTTAACGGGAACCGGTCGGCGGCTGCTGTGTGCTCCGCATACGACATTGTATTTGTTGTTGATAATGGTACCAGTTTTATTGACCCAATAAATGCTATGAGAAACTCAGTTAATTTTGTTTGAAGTTTATTCAATAGTCGATCCGTATTATCTGACGGCGTGTCCGACAGACTTACTTACGCAGGACTTAGACTAGACTGAGACTGCTTGGCCGAAACCGCCACAATATAATTTTCAAAATAATTTTTAATATTTTATTTACAGATAATCACTTCCATAGCGTTCGTATTCATTTTATATATACTTTCTATAGAGAAACAATTTTACAAATTATAAACGTTTCCATAGAGCTTTTATATATATTTTCTATATATTTTCTATAGACTATTAAAAGTTACAGTTTTTAAAATGACTGTTTAGAATATTATACAGTTCTACAGAATATACTATAAATAAATAGATTTATATTGAAATTTCATATATGTTATACTCTATATAGATTTTATATGTTCCTATAGAGATAATCCCTATAAAATTGTTATAATACATTTAAAAAAAATACAGGTAAGGACTATAATTTTTTATAGAATAAATATAGAAATTTTATAGTTTTATTATAGAGAACTTGTCATATCATTCGTATAGAATATTCCATAGAATTTCTATAGAATATGCAAGATGTAAAACATGCTGGTAGGAATATACTGGTCAGACACGAATGTGTCAATAAAATATTGAATAAAACAAAAACAAAAACACAACATAGAAATTACATTAAATATGTGTATATAGTATGTTATAGAATTCTATAGAAACTAGTTCCTCTATAAAACAATTTTATAGAAAATACTAATTTCTGTAGAAATTGATTAGACTCTATACAAGGTCTAGAAAGTTCTATAGAATTTTTATGTATGGGCTGCTTTGATAAGACGTGGACTGAACCCGTCGAGACCTGTTGATTTATTTGTTGAGACTGGTTAATAAGGTCAGAAACTCAACTTGATCAACTGGTCGGAATCTAAATTGGTTTTGAAAAAAAAATCATTGTAAGTTTTGAGTCGTCAATGTCATCATTATTCACTGCTCTAGGCAGATCATCAATTGAAAATAAATTGTCTCTTGAGTCGTCGGAAATACTATACTGCCACAATCCAGTTGCCCCATTGAACAAAAAATAAGAAATAAATTTATTTGCAATTTCTTTAGGATCAGAGATCCTACCGCCATCAGAATCTGTCAAGGACACATTAAATTTTCTCTTTGACGTTTGGTCATGTTGGAACAATTTTTCTAATGGCGGTCCAGGTGGCTTTAGGATTTCCGACGTTCTCACTAATATTTGACATAACATTATTACGTTTCAGGGAAGTTCTAAAATTGTTAAAAATATTTCTTTTGTCTTGTAATTTTTCTAATCATTTTTTATTTGGTTTGTTTTAGCTATTTCTTTTAATATTTTAGCTTCATTTCTTAACGATATTCAGGTATCACCCAAGGTGAAATTTTGATGTTTTTAAATGGAGCATGCGTATCACAAATGTCACTAAAAATCTTTTTAAAATATTCTAAGGCTTCATCGACATCTTCAGAGACTCGCAAAATATTCCAAGGGGCCGAGTTTAGGTCACTCTGAAAATTCTCAATGTTGAAATTCTTATAAGACCTTCCCTTGACTATTTTTGGCAAAGCTCCGCGATGCTTTTGAGCTAATTCTAATTACGATAACACTGTTAATATTGTACTAGCTACTAGTCTAGGCTGGGTACAGCAAAGGCCGCATATGGTTATTGAAGTAAGTCTACTAGCTTGAGTAGATCTAGGTTAGGCTAGTTTCACCTAGGCCCACTTAGCTACTACTATTATTAGTATAAGTGGTCCTATAGTCGTGCGTAGTCGTAATTTTCTGAAGTTTTTCATTACTTTTTAAACTTTCTTTTTCCTGTTGTAAAATATCACGACAATATCTGTTTTCACATATTTTATAGAAAATCTCTAAAACTTTGTCAAATTCGAAAATCCCTCTCTCGGATGATTACGTTTATTAGATCGCTCTTAGGACGACGCAAAATTCAAGTGCATGCGTAAAAACTACATAATCTTGGTTACGGTGGCTCTGGGTTGGCACGGCGATTTGCTCATCAGTAGATAGGGCCTACAGCTGTACGTGTTGCCCAGCGAAGAAACATGTTTAGCTTATCGTGTAGTTCATTGATGATTTGATGCATGTTAATCTGATGTTTAATATAATCATTTTGATTGTGATGAACACTTAATTGTTAACGGCAGTGGATTAATGACAATGTTAAATACCCAGTATACATGCTGAATAGGCAAGTTAAAATATAATTACTAGTTGTGAGCGAGAGAAGATTGTTTAACTTCTGTCATTAGTTGGCCACCGCACTGTTACTACAACGTTACTCGCTAGGGTAGTCGTCACGCTTGAGTGATTTAGTATGCCGTTGCTATGCCAACGAGTTGCATAGTTAAAGCCTATGTGGTATTGTTTGTGTCTTTTTCAGATTTCGAATATCTATATATTATAGATTAATGACATTACCGGTCATTAAAGTTTGAAATTGAGTTGACAACAACCAAGTGAGGGCGCAGTGTCTTATTTTTGTGCTTTACACATATTAAGATATGTAAATCTTCATATTACCACATCTAAATTATTTATTTTAAACTGAACAACTCTTTTGGCCGCCTTTATAGTATCCGAGAGTATACAGTATTGTATACTCTCTAAGAGAGATACTGTCGTTATCTGAAACATTACCCTTTTTAGCATCGGTGACGCTTTTCCAATTTTTTTAAAGATTTTTTTTTATCCCTATATAACATATTAAGCCGGTTGAATTTTATTTTTTTACAGCCGATCATTCGATTAAGTTAGTGTACCGGTACTGGGAGACCAAAACGTGTAGCGGTTTTAAGTAAAAATTCCTATTGATTTTCTTTATCAATACGGTTTTTGTCGCTCTATTGCAAATAAATCATAAATATGCAATTAAATGAAATGGTAGACTACTGGTTGATCAAGCTTAGATGTTTTAATGTTGAGATAGCTGATATGTTTTGTGTCATTATCATACGAAGAGGGTTTTTTGTTTCTCCAACATATTCTTTACAACAAATATTACAATACTCTATATGAGATACAGTACACTTTTTTTTGTGAGGCACTTAATTGATTGCCTTATCCGGAATATGTATGTAGTTTGTTTGGTTGCTCTTGATTGATTGTGTGAAATGAAACAGGTAGCATGTTTTTCATGATAAGCCACAAAGAATAATTGCCCAGATTATGTCGGAAGAGATGATTTGCCTCTTAAAATTAGATCTAATACAAATGAACGCTGCGCGGGGGCCGGTGCATATGTTTATCCGTCGGTTTATGGAAGAGACCTAAAGTTTTGGTCTCTAGACCTCGGCTCTAGCCCCCTCCCCCGTCAGGCAAATCCTGGCGCCACACCTGATAGGATCTGTGGTTCTGGCAAACCCACCCCAAAGGTGGCCTTCAGCCTTAAAAAAAACCAGTGTACAAACGCGACCATTAAGTTCCAGTTCGGCCACGATGGATATTATTTCGAATACATTGTATCTCTTTATAAACATGTCACGAAATGTGCCAAAAATGCACACCTAGTCCACACATTCTCCACCCTGTTACCATGTTTTCACTAAGTTAAATTATTATCAATTCAGTAAAATAGATAAACACTTTCTAAATTAACACAATTTTTCACTAATTATATTTTGAGTGATAAAGCGCCACATGCGTGCCTGATCAATGCATGTAGAATTGCGGTTCAACTTATTTGATGTGTTGCACTTTAACAAACTTTAGATTGCTATCACTGTGGTGTCACCATCCCATCTCCCCCGATGCAGAGGCCAAGCACCCATCGATTCCACTAAATGCAAAGGCCTATTTTAGAGCCACAACTGCTTGCATATATTTAGTTTTAAGTTAGTTAAAAGAACGATGAAAATCGGGTTTTTTTTGTTTTGTTTTTTTTTTACAATTTTCGCTTTTCTTCGTGTTAGAATTCGACTTTCAGTGGGATGTAGTGGCAATGAATTACAAAACATCATTCAAGGAAAATTGGTTCATGGCAAATGATAATACTAACGATCGTTTCTACTACAATCAAACTTCAAACTTTTTGGATGTATTTAGTAATGAAATAGTGACGGAAGACTACAACCAGGTTTGTAGACTTTGATATTAATATTAAATATACAAATAGTATCTGTTTTTTTTAAATTATGAAATAAAAAAAAAAACAAGTAATAGCAGTAAATTACTGAAATCGAACTTGTTTTATAGACAAGGCTATAATTGAGATAGGTACCACTTGGAGAGGTATAAATTCTCATATGGTTTTTCTAGACCAGTTTTTTTTATGGGGAATCAGAACATGTGAGGGGTGTAACCTGAGAACTTTCGCGTGAGGGCGCTTTTTCAAAATGGCCGCCAAAATCCAATAAATTACATATATATGGGTAAAATAAGCACAGAAGAGGTAGGTTTGACCAACTTTTGA